ACTTCAGCCTCTTCTGCATCAGTGATTGGGGCATAGACTTGGATTACTGTGATGTTGAATGGTTTGCCTTGGAATCGGACCGAAATCATTCTGTCATTTTTGAGATTGTATCCCAGTACTGACTTTTGCACTCTCTTGTTGACTATAAAGGCCACACCATTTTTTCTACGAGATTCCTGGCCACAGTAGTAGATATAATGGTCTTCTGAGTTAATTTCGCCCATTCTTGTCCACTTTAGTTTACTGATTCCTAAGATATCGATGTTCAGTCTTGCCATCTCATTTTTGACCACGTCAAGCTTACCTTGATTCATAGATCTTATATTCCAGGTTCCTATGCAGTATTGTTCTTTGCAGCATCGGAGTTTCCTTTCACCATCAGACACATCCACAACTGAGCTTCCTTTCGGCTTTGGCCCAGCCGCTTCACTCTTTCTGTGGTTACTTGTACTTGCCCTCTGCTCTTCCTCAGTAGCATATTGGACACCTTCCGACCTGAGGGGCTCATCTTCTGGCCTTTTGCCTTTTGATACTGTCCATGGGGTTTTCTTGCCAAAAATACTGGAGTGGGTTGCCATTTCCTTCTCCAGGTGTAAGCCTAAGTGTAAGCCAAGCCAAAAGTTCAAGTCTGAAAAGAAACAAATTATCCTCTGTATATATCTTCCATCCCCCTGTTGTGTTTTCTGAAAATAAAGTACTTTTCTGTTTTGAAGCGGACAAGCCTTGGTGCCTGACTCTTAACAAAAAAGCAAATATACCTAGCAGTGGTCCTCCACAGATATATAAAGTAAAAACAAACCCTGAAGAGACTGTCATTATAAAGGAACTGGTCAGCACAGTATAAGCAGGTATAAACACAGTATAAACAGCCACCTCACAGAACCTCATGGTATAGCATATGTACATCTATAATAGGGCCACATGGTGATACGCTCAGACGGAGGTAATTGACTAAAGCTGACAGAGTCCCATAGCTCAGCCTGAAACCAGTCTGAAAAGGGTTTCGATCAGATTAGTTATTCAAGAAGACCTGGAGTTCATCTGCTACTGCTCTGTCAACCACTTTGTCCAGAAAGGGTAGGTTAGAGACTAGGCAATAATTGCCACATCATTTTTCTGTAGGGATGGTTTTTTAAGTAACGAACAGACAACCTCTTCTTTGAGTGGCCATGGAAGGTGCACTGAGTTAGTGATTGATTTATAATAGATAGTGTTTATTGATGTGGTCTTTACCTGATTTTATCAGCCAGGATGTGCAAGGATCCAGAGTACAAGTGATGGCCTTTATTGATCCCAGGATCTTGTCAACATCCATCACAGAAAATGGGTCAAAATTATCCTATAATTCCATAATATTCATTTTGAGTGTACTTATATTTAAGGTTGTCCATCTGTCCAAATCCAATGATATATCAGCAATTAGTAGTAGTAGTAATGTAATAATAAAATATTATAAAAATAGTATTTATTTCATATATTTAGATCTACCCAGAACATATATGGAACCATGTCTAGATTTAAGATGAAGCTAGAACTTTTCAATACCTTAATTTCATTGAAAATCTTGTGTACCTTGACCTGGAACATTTGTTATTTTGTCTTAGTCATTTTAAATGTCTTAGTCATTTTAAATGTAGAACATAAGTTAGAACTCCTTCTCTCCCCTCCCCCATTACATTTTAAACACTGTTCAACCATTGGGTTGTTGTTATTGCATTGGTGGGACATCTGATATCTCTTTGTAATTGCTTTTTTTTTTAAGTAGACATTCAATTTCATATATGACAAAATGAGTTAATCCTTTAAAAATCTTGGCAAAATCAATACCTATGACCCCAGTACTTCTCATCTAGTACCATTAGATAAGCCCTTTTGTCCATGCTTTTGTGCTAAGTAAAGGTACACGGTTAGACTGAAACACATTTACTGACTAAAGATTTATTGTGACATGAAGTTTTTGTGATGAACTAGAGCCCAGTTCTTCAGATGTAAGAAGTGTATCTTAATATAGTTACACATATATATCTCTGTGTGTAAATATACAATTACAAAATTAGATACATGGTTATAGAAAGAAATATTGAGAGGCACAGGCTATACAAACTGAGTAGATGAGGAAGGCATTTTTGGCAGGAGCAGCATGGTTGGAAACAGGTGAGGAGAGCTCCTGCAGCTTCTTTTACACAATTATGAAGGCTTATATAGAAAGTAGGGCCCACCCCTGATTGCTGTGCTCACAAACTAAACAGTTGTTTGAACACTAAATGAGCAGTTCTGCCTCCTGCCCAGAGACTTGCAGCAATACCTGACAAAGCAATGGCAAAAGCGATCATCCGTTTTTGTTGAACTGTAGGCAAAATTAGATTTATATCAAATGTCATACCCTGCCTTTCTCCATAGTGGAAACCCAAAGTGGCCTCCATGGGTTAGGTAGAAGACATTTCTTTCTGTATGCTTGCAAATTCTTAATGCAGATATATTTTTGTTACAGGAGCATCATGGTACGCTGCTGGGAAACACAATACAAAGTGCAGTTGCAGTCTTAAATAATCTGGTTTCTCATAAAAGTACGAACATGGCATTACTTTATGAACAAGGTAAGTATTTCGAACCCCTGGTACTTCTTGTAAATATTTGGCATCATGCTTCCTCAGAAACGATTTGTTTGCATCTAAAGTGTCTTAGAAAAAAACCACTTCTGAATGACTACAGTAGGTTTCCACTCTGAACATTATTTTTCCTGATAATGTTGTTGGATGTTTTAATCAAAAAATAATTGGAAAATCAGGAAAAATGCATCTGCAGCATTGCTTCTCAAATGCAGTAATTTATGCTATTATATCACTACGTCTAAATATAATCGTTTTGTCAAAAAGTGTTTCTTTTGAAATATGCAATCCTAAATACTGATCTACTTAACTAATTGCAGTTTTCATTGGTTAATATGATATCATTAGTATCTTTGGTATATTAGCTCATATTTTGTTTCATTCAAGTTACCACTGGACTATAAGTTTAGCTAAATAGTACATTATTTTTTTAAAAAATTAGCTACTAAACGTAGTTCTTGTTAAATATGTGGCCACAAGCCTACTGCTCATTATCCCCAAAAGTCCAGTGTTTTCACACAGATGTGTTTGGTTCATATATTTTATTTTCTTAAAGCGTCTGTCTATACTCCTCTGTGCTGGTTCTTGAACTCCTGATGGTGTTTAGAAACATTGTTGTTACCATGTCGAGCATGCAAACTGGGAGAAAATAAATCTCAGTAGGAGCAGTATATAATGCAATAGTGCCAAAGTCAGCCTGGATTAAGGATCTTTCCAGATGTTGTTTGTACGTGGGAGCATCATTGAATCAACCAGAACCCCCAGAAAGTGCTTACAGTGTATGGAAATCACTTTTCTCCCTTGACTTTCCAAGGGCATTCTCAGTCTTTCAGAAAAACATTACCCTTTGGACAAGTTGTCATGAAGGACTGAGGATACCATGGTAAAGTGACGTGAAGAACAGCTTGTTTAATCCAGAACGAAAAGCAAGCTGTAGTTCAAGGGAATTGTATTGCCTGTTTTAACTTTCAGTAACAGAATCCATAATAACATGATTCAGCTAGCAGTCTGCAGTGTAATAGACTGGATATTACATTTTCAGGGTTCCAGCTTCTCATAAGAAAGTTTGTGTGGGTGTCTGTCACATTTTTATCTCACCCCTTCTGTCAATCAAGTTCAAATAAGAGTTGCCAAGTAGCACTTATGATTTAAAAGACTATGGACGAACTGGATGAAGTCGTTATGCACACTGAGAAGAAGAAAATAGACATTTACTAAAATGGACTCACTAATCTCCTTAATTCATTGACTTAAACAAAAGCTTTAATTTTTTATGACTAACTATGTACTAACTGTTAATGACCTTCCTTTCTTGGGTTTTTAGTCCAAATTTGGCAACCATCCTAGTCAGCTTTTGATTATCTCCTGCCAGCATAATTGATAAAAGTGTCCTTCTATTACGACCTGGTAAGGAGTTAACTATCGGCTTGATCAAAACTTCCCTGATATTATGATCTATAAGACAATCGAAAATTACATGTTCCAATGTTTCATCAAGTCCCATCCCACATATACAACTTTTCAATCCCTTCTGTCAAAAACCTTAGGAAGATGTATACAGTTCTCTCCTGCATTTTATCACCACAACAAAACTGTGAAGTATACTAGAGAATGTGTGTTTGTGTGTGCATGCGTTCATGTGTGTGTGATTGGCCCAAGATCACCCAGTAAACTTAATGTGTCAGTGAATTTGATGGAGGGAGCTTTGACTCTCAAAAGCTTACACCCTGAACATTTTGTTGGTCTCTGAGGTGCCACCGGAATCTAATCTATCTCTTCATCTGCAGACCAACACAACTATCATCCTGAAACTATTTTCATGCTCCTGTTCTGTTCCTCTTCAGAGATTCGAACTGTGTGCCAAAGCACGTAGATGATTTTTTTTTAAGTCCCAAGTTATTAGATATTTAAACATTAATATATATATATAATGGGTGAGTTTAATCCCCAAGTTTAGGTGATACATACAGGCTCCTACCTTTATGAGCAGAAAGAATAAATTTAACTATAGAGGGTGTAACTGCCTTATCACTGCCAGCCAAGATAAATAAAAGATGAAAATCATGCAAGCAGACAGGAAACTTGGCAACAAGAGGTGTTATAAAGCAAGCCCTTTGAGTGGAATATCAATCACAACTAAAGAAGAAATGAGTTAGTTATTCTATGTATGCTCTTCTACATGGACAGATATTTGGGCTAGAAGGAATACAGCACAACCGCCCAATGTTATGCCAGGCTAAAAATAAAAGCTCACAAGATATTGGGCATGTAAGAAAGTTAAAATATTGTTGCTGGACAGAAAATAAAGGGGCTGAAAAGCCCCAACAAAGTGCGGAACAATCTCTTTTAGTGTTCTGGTTAATGCTATCCTGATCATGCTTTAACAATTCAAGAGTTTTCTGCCTAACACTAGGGATATCCAAAGAAGAGGATGGTAAAGCTACTCCAATGCTCTTAACTTTATATCTGCCAAGATGCTCCAAGATGACATGTGGGGATCCTGCTGTGTCTGCTGTAGTAAAACTGGCAAAGAATCATGATCTAACAAAAAGAATCTAAATCTACCTGCAGCAGTCCAAACCTTCAATGAAATGGAACTACAACCTGCTTCCAAAAGCAAGTTGGAATTTGAAAAGCATTTTGGGACCCGCAATAGGGCACAAACAGAGGAAGCCTGAGCTAATGCCACGTTAGTAGAAATTGTAGATACCCATAAAGGATACCCATAGAGCAGGAAAGACAAGATCTTAGCCAGAGTAATGCAGGAGTTGATTAACAGACGACAGAAGAGAAAATAAAGTTGGCTCTGTGGATTGTACTTCTAGTACAGTTACTTATAAGTACAGGAAGGGTCCTGCAAGCATTTAGGTTTGTTGTGTTCCCTTTGGGTCTTATCAAGATCTCAGAACCTTTTGAAAATTGTCCCTTATATGTTAAAAATATAAAAGCCTGACACATGACCTTTTTGATTAAAAGCATTAATACTGGATTGCTGCTCTCAGAGGAGTCACTTTAAGGATGCAAGATTTAACAGACTTTAACAATATGACCGGCACAAAGACATCTGAAATCTAATTAATCTCATGACATTTGACTAAAAGTCAAAGCAATGGACTTCAAGATGAACAGAGCACCTCACCCGTGAAGGGTGACTAGTATTATCTTTCTTTCATGAGGTATAAATGAGTTATTAAGTATCTTCTACAAAGTTTTATTGCAGACTTAATCCTCTTTTTAATAACTATCCATGCACTAAATGCCTACTGTTTTCTCTTAATATAGGATCTAATATCTGCTGCAAGCACTCATTTTGCAGTATAATTAATCTCTGGTTATTTACAGCTGAGGACCAACTGCTCCATCTGAAAGTTATTGTTAGGAGACTTAAAACAATAGCATGTATAAGGTGCTAGTTCATTTTTTTAATGAAATTGTTTGCCAGTTATGTTTATTTAAATTGATATTCTGGATTTTTTTTTTATTTTAAATGTCCAAAATAACCAGATATTGCTGAAAGGACAATCTGTTGGTTTTGCTTTCTTCTGCAGTGATTTCTGAACACATTTCTCTACAGTATATAGCACTGTTATTGTTCACATACCATCTTTCCTTCATCTTTCCGGACCAGTCAAACTAGCAGATGTTGTCTTTCACAATACAAACAAAAAAATGGATATGTGTTTTTAAATTTCCTCTTTTGTTTTTGTTAATATTAACCTGTATTGTTTTTAAAAATCTTTGTTGAAACAACCACTAGACATAGTACTGATTGAACAAGGAGATAATGAGTTAGAGTGAAGACGTTTATATAACCATGATTACTTGTAATACTATATGAAGCCTACCTCTTCTACATTCAATTGTTCAGAAAATACGAGTTTATTCAATAAATTCAGACATATACACTAACGAAACTTATATTTAGCTTAAATCTTGATTCTGTGGTTCATAAGCAGAATTTTTTTCACCTAGAAAAATAAATCTATTCCAGGAACGAACACTGAAATATTCTGGGTTAGATCCAAGAATATCTTTCCCATATTAAATAAATTCTTCAGAGATCAGAAGGGACTGGATTCAACACTTTGCCTTTAAAAATCATGGAGGAATATTCATACAGTTATGCTTTCATGTGATGAACACAGTCATCACATAATCACTTGAGCTTTTGAAACTATCAGAACATTAGTCTTGGATGGAAAGACAGCGAATATGACTAAAACTGCCACTATGCAAAATGGTTATTAAGAGATAAACACAGTCACCACATGGTTGCTCCTGAGAGATATGAAGCAATATGTCCTGGACATCCAATGCATTTACAAAGACAGGAAACAGTTTAAAGCTCAGTACAATTTTTGGTAAACATACAGATAGAGGATCAAAAACTCTTGGTAATCATAAAATCACTTTAGGCTAAATTGTAGCTGTTGTGACTCTGGTACCAAGCAGTTCTGTGCGTTTGGAATGAATACCTTCAGGACTCGGGATGTTTAAATAATGCCCACATTCCAAACTGGCATTGCTCTTTGCTACTAAGCAAGAACAGATGAGCTATTAAAAGATACTTCTGTTGGCTAAATAAATCTGTTTTTGTGTTTCTGCTACTGAGCAATTCTCCCTCTGAGGCGGAGGACATCTTGGGTGATTCCCACCATCCTATCAGGGAGAGGCAGGAACAAAAATTCTTTCTTCCTCTTCCTGTGTGCTATGGAAACGCCCCCTTCTCAGTTCTTTTCCTACCTCCACAGGGAGAGGTTTATTGTAGGCTTTACCTTCAAGTTTAGTGAGCTATCTACTTATTTTTTTCTAGCTTAAATTTCTAAATCTATCTCAATATCTTATCTACTTTCTTTCTCTGTAAGTCTTAATTTTTTTATTTTTCCTGTCCTCTAGAGGGAGCTTTAGCAACAGCCATAGGGCTTTACTGGTCGCTGAGGGAAGACTCTCTAACTGCTATCTGCAGGCCCGCTTAAAAAAAATGGCCA